AAGGTTTTTGTAGTTACGTGGTGCAGAGGGCTAGCTGCAGTTCAAACAATCAAAAATCGAGGAGCGATAAGTTTTTGGTTTCACGTGAATGCGAAGAAAAATGTTATTGTTATAATTAATTTGTGAAATATAGGTAAGAAAAATGGATGGATAAAAATGAAGATAAAGTGTGGATTGGATGTATGTATAGGACAAGTGGCGGCCATGCAACTCATACCAATCAATCAAAAACTAGTTGCCCTTGCCATGTAACTTTGTCCCATATACTAACTATACTATACTACAACACAAAAACGGTCCTCATTAAACATCATCATGTGCATCTCTTCTCATAAGTCATCTAATATATATACCAACCTGTAATTCATTTCTTATATATATTATACTAGAAGGCTACGGCTGTGCAATGCACAATCGGCCCAAGCTAGATAGACATTTGATGGCTATAAAGAGGTGAAGAGGTAAACACAACAAAGGAGTGACCATTACATTAGTGAAATACGAATCCATAACATATGATCATCAAAAGAAGTCACATTCAAAAGTATCTATATGTAAACAGATGCTTGGAATTCTAGTCAATACAATTGGCAAACACAAAAGTTTAGTTTGTATATATGCCACTAAGAAGCTACAGAACGTAAAAACATTTATCTGTGAATGGATGACTGAAATAGTGGACAATGTAGATACAAAATACAAAAGATATGGTTCATAGAATTTGTGGTTCCCAAAAGTTTTAATATGCAGTCATACAGGAGCTAGTCCATTTTTGGACGCCTTTTCTTTGTCGGACTTGCATCACATATCGTACTGGTTTGATGAGTTTGTTGGGTGGATGATTCAAGAATCTGGGTAAATGGGATGATGCTTCCTGAGGTGGAGGATTGTTGATTGTCGAAGCTGATGCGCTTTTTAACCGCTGATTCCGAAGATGCAATAATTGTTGCAAGCTTTTCACGTGCTGGAGTGAGGGAGGCAAGAACATTTTTCAGCGTTGGACTTAAGAACTCTTTGTCCGTTACCTGTTTCGTGAAAGTAGATTAGTTGTGAAAGTGAGGAAGCAATCGCATTGTATATATGCATACAAATCCTAACATCATTTCTAACCTAATAAATAAAAATGAATAATAAAACTTAAAAACTAACTGAATAATTGTAAGAACTTCAGATTCGCTGCAATAGATTAGATAAAAACTTAAGATGAATACATGTCAAAACACGAACATGAAGTTATTCAAACATATCTAGCATAAAAATTAAAACTACATCAAAGTAAAAGAAAGAAAAAAATCATTAGAGGATGCTTGGATATAAAAATTTTTAGATTTGTTTGGATTTTTTGGTTTAGTTTGATAAATTTTGAAAAAAGTTGTATGGTTAGTTGTTAGTGGGTATATTAAAATAATATTTAAAATAAAATAATTAAAGTTGATTTGATGTAAAATATGAGAGAGAGATACCCTGGCACTGGCCGAGCGCGAGGGACGCGGGGTTGTTTATATACTGCGAGTGTTCACACTAGGGGCGGTACCGTAATTACTTGATTTGTTGTGTTCACACTTAAAGAGTTGGTTAATTACGGTACCGCCCCTAGTGTGAACACTCGCAGTATATAAACAACCTCGTCCTGCTTGAATTGGTACCGTAATTACTTGGTTTGTTGCGTTCACACTTAAAGAGTTGGTTAATTCACACTAGGGGCGGTACCGTAATTAACCAACTCTTTAAGTGTGAACGCAACAAACCAAGTAATTACGGTACCGCCCCTAGTGTGAACACTCGCAGTATACAAACAACCTCGTCCTGATTCAAGCAGGACGAGGTTGTTTATATACTGCGAGTGTTCACACTAGGGGCGGTACGAGGTTGTTTATATACTGCGAGTGTTCACACTAGGGGCGGTACCGTAATTACTTGGTTTGTTGCGTTCACACTTAAAGACTAGTAATTACGGTACCGCCCCGTTGAAGTGATGGTTAGTTAAAATTATGTGAGTGGATGAATAGTGAATTAAGGTTGATGTGATATGTAAAAATGATTGGTTGATATTATTTAATTATATTAATAATATTAATGATAGTTGGGTTGAGTTAAAGTTCAGTTAAAAAAAGTGGTTGAGTTAAAAATGTTTGGCTTTTTTATATATTTTTTGTATCCAAGCATCCTCTAACCAAGTCCGGCCCACGGCTGCACTTTTTTATTAACCTAGAATACTGTTTTATTTGGGAAAAAAAGTAATATAGAAACCACAGATTCATTGTCATTTAATTTACCACATCGATCAGTGTAGACTCATGAATACATCAAATTCTTAAAGCAACATAATTAAAAAAGGATTATGGATAACAAGAAGTTTAAATTTATATATCATCCTGTGTTTTGTATATTTCTAGCAAGATTAGTTTTTTTTCTTGTATAGATAAAAATCAAATAAAAAAATAATTCAGAGTAGATTCCTAATTTTATGGATTTAATTCCAGTCTATCATTTAGGATCTCAAATCATAATCATGTGTTCAATAATGAATACTTGTTGAAAATCTATTAATATATAAAGAGGGAATGATAGTTGTTTGAAAAAATCAACTAAAAAATCAGCAAAAAAAAAAAATTCAATTCCCGCCTAAAGTTTACTATAATGAACAAGATTTTTGGCAAAAAATTGGATAAGTACGCCCAGTATACAATTCGAAATTTTGGGTGGCTTTTTTTATAGACTTATTTATCACTTAAAGATTTAGTCAGATTTTTATGCCAAATATTTGTAGATATTTTAATATAATATATTTCATGAGAGTCGAATTTTTTGGGGCATACGGTTATTCTATTAATCACTTGTGATTGCGCATCTTTGAGATAACCTGCCCTTTCCAATTGATGCCATTGCCGACATGAAAACCTCCTCTTGTGACCACCTGATTAGAGATTCGAAGTACCAATAGATTCAGAATAAGTGCCGAGACGGCTTGAACAAACAGACATCGGATGCGAGCTGGTCGGAATTGTGTGCGGGCTGCTGGAAATGGATGAACTCGCCATGGCTGAAACCTGGAAGCTGTCGGTGAAGACGATCGGAGTTTCTGAGCGTCAGATATGGATGGACCTGAATGTACGCCGGCGGGAGGACCGATTGCGCACGAAGAGTCTGGGCGGAGGGATGGCTACTGGTAACGTCTGGACACGACGGGGTGTTGTACTCCGACGTGTGAAGCTTGGTTGGCCGGGGATAAAAAACTCTCCACGACGTTCAAGCTGCGTGAATTTGCTGTAGAAGAAAATCGGAACTCCATGCCCCACAGTTGAGCAAAGCTACGCGAGAGAAAACGGTGGGACTCAAGGGTGCTGTTCAGTTTTTTCGGCTGAATTTTTGGGAAGATTTTGCACGCTAGAATTTTGGGAAGCTTTTCGGGAAGAAATCGGTTAGAATTATTTGGAGGAAAACTAACAAATTGTGGAACCTAACGGAGTTTAACCGAGAAAAAAATCCCTCTCTTTATTCCTTTCTCTCTCTAGAAATTTGTCAATTCTAAATTCTAATGGCGGTTTCAAAGGCTTTCTCTCTTCTGATGGTAGCAGCGGCTCAGTCTCCTTCCATAGCTCTGGTGCCGTCACCAGTGGTCAGATCACCGTCTACGTCGCCGGCGCCGCCGAGGGGCGCTCTGTCCCCGGCTCCGACGTCAACCGCTACGCCACTTCCGGCACCGGCGACTCCCTCTCCCACGCCGGCGGACGCGCTTTCGCCGTAGTCTCCTCCGCCGGCGGCATCTTCCCCGTCCCCGTCCGTCGCCTCGCCACTGTCGGACATCGCACCGGCTCCCCGCCCCAACGGCGGCGCCGTAAATAGGGTGGGGCTCGCGACCATCGCCGCCGGATTTCTGGCGGTCTCTATGGTTGCGTAAATAGTTGGGGAGTGGTGGCCGCCGGCGTACTTTTTAGTCTAGATCGAGTTTTCGCCTTTGTTTATTTGTTGTTGTTTATTTTCATTTTTTTTCTATTTTCTGGATTTTACATCGGGATATTTATAGTTACTTATTTAGTAGGCAGAATTTTATTCTCAGGATTAATTATTTCTTCTCTGGAATTTAGATTGATGATTTTGGTGTTTAGTTATTTTATTATTAGTAGTTGTGTTCTGGAATTCGTTGTGTTGAATGTTGATTTTAATTTAGTTATAAGAAAATTATTCTTATTAAAAAAAATAAACTAACAAATTGTGGAATGTGACGTGGCATTTTTTGATTGCTTGAGTTTTTTCCCAAGTTGAGACGGGGTAGGAAATTACAGTTCAGTATGGATTTGTACTATCAGTTTCTTGTGTGTCTTGAATTGTTATTTAATGGTCACAATAATTAGAATTATTTATTTATTTCTATTTTTATTACAATAATGATCTAATATGCCTAATATTTATTAATAGAATGTGTATATTAGTTTTTTCAAGTGTAAGATAAGTAATTTATTGCTATTTGTATTATATATAATATAATTAATTAAGGTCAAAATTAAAAAAATTATAACTCCATTTTGGATTTGTTTTCATTATTTTTTGTAAATTAACAATCGTAAATGGTTAATTGACTTTAAAAAATCAAAAGCAATATTTTGATTTAATATCTTCATCATAAAATTCAATACACTAATTAGAAGTCTTATGTCATAAAATTCACCAATAATACTATCTAATTACTCATAGACTCCATACATATTATCTTTTGGAAAATCCCTACTACACGATCATATGTCAAAATTTGTTAACTTTTTCGAAAAATCACACAGTAAATGGTTGTCGAAATTTATCAAACTACAACACTTTTTTTATAGAATGGATGAAATTATTAAAAGTTTTCCAAAAAGTCACACCGTCAATTGAATGTCCACATTTGTCTAACTCAGTCCTTATTACAGTGTGGAAATAATCCAAATTTATATGATTTATTTAATTTTTTCTTTTGGTTAGATAAGGAATTTCAGAAAATTCCGACTACATAAATTTTCTATCATAAAATTCACCGATACTATTGTTTAATTACTATTTTTTTCCTTTTTATGCTTAATATATTTAATATTTTCATAAAATATTTTTTTCTTTTTATGCTTAATATATTTAATATTTTCATAAAATAATATATATATATATATATATATATATATATGATTTTATTTTTTGTTACTATGAGATAGGATGAATTATAAAAGCTGAAAATTATCCATATATGGCACAATATTTTCTCAAAGATAATATATTGAAAAAAATAAAAATATTTTTATTTAAATTTAAAAATAAAATATAATTATTCATAACTTATGGGTCAATATTAACTTGGACGTAAACGAGATAGTCAATTATTTATGGTTTAATAAATTACTCAACTACTTAATTTTTTTTTATTTTAATAGTTTATACAATAATAAATTATTTTAAGTAATGAAACAATATAAATTTTATATTTATACTTATTATTCACATAGGTTGTTAAATATATGATAACATTTTACCAAAATAACTATTTTATGAAATCACATATAGTCAAATCGATTTTCCAAATAAAATTTTTGAAATGATACTTATCTTGAAACGAATATAATGTAATTTATTATCAGTTATGTGCACCGCACGAGTTGTATACTAATTTTAAATATTTATTTTTATGTAATTTCGCACAATTTCAACTTTATATAACATTTTCAATAAATTAATACAGGTAAATTGTATTACATATTGATTATATATTTTTAATTTATAAATACTATGTAATAAGAGTTTTTAATTTATAAATATTAATGAATATCTCTTACCCGTGCGCTGCACAGGACTCATACTAGTCGGAGCATATAAGATATGCTCAAAACATAATAAATATCCTGTTTATGAATAATAGAATGCATCCCAAAGTATAACTATATTAGTATTTTCACTCATAAACCAGCAAAGAAAAACTGACTGAAACAAATCTTGAGCAACAATCGAAGCACAATAATTAAGATCCTCACTTAACCTTCAACGGCAAACATAAAATGATCTTCAAAATGGTTAACCTTACACATATAACTAATATTAATGTAAAAAAAAACCATAAATAGCTGATGTAAAATACAAAATAAAAAAGAATAAATGATGTTTTTAATTCTCCTAATCCTACCTGTAGGGCTGTAATTGGAAAGAAACATACATGGTTGTAAAAAAGGATATGCTTTAATTTAATTATTTCATTTGCAAGTATAACTTCACATTATTAATAAGCTCATTATGAAAAAATAGATAAAAATTAAGCAACAACAAACAATGCATATGCTTACCCGTGATGTAGATGGAATGTTTTCCATATGTTTTTGTATAATTAAGTACATAATATAAACTATTCTCAGTATCATATTTGCTTTATATGATCATGTATATTTGACAAGTTGTTCTTCTACTGTTGCAGTCTGACACAATGTGCGTGTATGCAAAGTGGGTTGCTCTTAACATGCTACAGACAACACCAAAAAATCTCTAAATGGTCACTGTGGATAGTTTTTTATTTACTCTAATATTTCACTACCTACTGTATTATTGTCTGTAAGAAAAATTAATGTTAATTCTGTTTCTCTTATTGAAAAATGGTCCCGATCATCTTGCTCGATATGCACGTTAAGAAGTTCCATCTGATTTCCATCTCGAGTTACTTAGTGTGGCTAAATTAAATCAACAAACACAAAAAATAATGCATGGTGTAATCAGTTGACAGAACAAAGTAGAAACTAATAATAAAAAATAAAAATTTCCCTGCAAGAAGATACCAAAAGATCCGAATGTAATCATGCCATAGAAGGATTCGGTCACTCAAGTCTAACCTGATAGCAACAAACGTACAACAGTTACAGTTTTCTGCTTAGTTTGCATAGCGACTTAAAGAGCAACAACCTACAAAAGAAAATGATGTGGTGAAGTTTAAACATTAAAAAACAATAAAGTAAAACAATAAGATGGGATACAATTACAAATATTGAATACAGGCAACTTTTTTTATAGAACATGTACACTAAATAACACATAAAATGTCTCAAACCCCTTTGAGCATACAGTGTAGAATACTTTTACTCATACACAAAGATACAGACACAAAATTGACCACTTGAGCATACAGTAGAGCCAAACAGAGCCTAGCATTAGATTCACTAAATTTCATATCCTCAAGAGACCAACTTCCTAAATAACTACATAAAGAAAACTTATTATGTAAAACATAATGAGCAAGAAATGACAAACAGAAGAAAAACTCCAAAAATTCCTGGTCTTGCAAACATAGAAAGCCGATATGACCATTTTTAAGAAGCAAGTCACCTAATAGGATACATAAACAATACACTCAGATAGTATAAAAAACAGGGAAAAAAAAGATGCATACTGCCTTCGATTTATGTTGCAAAAAACATCAGGAAAAGAGAAAATAGCTTTAGCAGGAGGAAACAAATTCAGATGAATTTAGAGTAATCCCTAAAACCCGAAGAGAAAGCACTTATCTCTGTTAGTAGATAGATTTTGTTTGATAGCATTGTTTAAAGAGAAACTGTTTTTATAGAAAGAAGTATAATTTAAATAAACTATACAATGTCAGAGGTATCTTAGTTTTATTATAATATTATAATATAAAAAATTCAATTAGTGTGCCATATCAAATCAATAAACACATAAAATAATTTATGGAGTAATCAATTGATATAGAACAAAGAAAAGTAATAATAAAAAAAAACAAAAAAAATCTCTGCAAGAAGATACAAAAAGATCTGTATGTCATCATCCCATCAGAAGGTTCCAGTAACTCCTTGCATATTATTAATTCTTTTTCTTTTTCTAAAAAAAACAAATTTGAAACATACAACAGTAAATCAAACTAAATCAAG